TGTGGAAAACTAGTAGGAATGAGCTGATGAATAGCGAATAGAGAAAGCGCTGCGCATTCGGTGTAAACAACAACCACTCGTAACAATGAATGTTCATAAAAAGAAGTGCAAACGTAGCTGAGGAGGGGAGGGCAGCGGCACCGCGTCTACAACCTTTCTAGCCGAGGCTCAGACCCATAACGGTGTTGGCGACCAGAGCAGCCTACCAGTCTCGCACAACAGACAGACCAGTTGCTATCCCTCCCCTCTATGTTCGCATCAAAACGGTTGCTGCTATGTGCTCAAAACGTCTAAAATGGATGAAGAAGAAAATGTCTAAAAAAGGAATAAAAGCAGGTGGATAATTTTAGCCGTCCAAGATTTTTATAATTTATGATTTATTGGCCAACGTTTCGGCTTCCTCGCCTTCGTCAGGGCCTGAAGAAGTCCAAAACAATTGAGATTGTTCCCTCGAACGCCCCACAAGAACATAAGACCTTACCTTGATCTCAGCCGCAATGATCGACCACCCAAGCTGCAGTACAACTAACAATGAGCTTACACCTCTACTCCGCGACCTCATTGTAGATCAAAAACCACATAGGTCGGCGAAGGGCGCGAGTTCACGTGTTTGCCCCTCCGAGCAGGTGATTGCATGAAGTCCGGGGTGATTTATTCAATTCGCTGCCTCGCATGTGACAGTGAATATGTAGGGGAAACGGGCCGTCCTTTGCGAGTTAGAGTTAAAGAACATTTAGACGGCTTGCGAAGATCACAAGTCCGGACGCCACTTGGTTCCCATCGGGTTGAGTGTCATGGAGATTCAGAATTCCAGGTAACTGTGTCCATCCTAGCACAGGAGCCTGAAGTCGCTGCGCGGAAAACCTTGGAAGCGCTGTGGATTTCAGCAAAAGACCCCCTGATGAACAGGAGAGAGGAATGTGTAGTCATAACACGTGAACTCGCGCCCTTCGCCGACCTATGTGGTTTTTGATCTACAATGAGGTCGCGGAGTAGAGGTGTAAGCTCATTGTTAGTTGTACTGCAGCTTGGGTGGTCGATCATTGCGGCTGAGATCAAGGTAAGCCAGCTCACTTTTATCGATTCTATACCGCTAGAGGGTTTGCTAGGATATCGAAATGGTCTTATGTTCTTGTGGGGCGTTCGAGGGAACAATCTCAATTGTTTTGGACTTCTTCAGGCCCTGACGAAGGCGAGGAAGCCGAAACGTTGGCCAATAAAAATTATAAAAATCTTGGACGGCTAAAATTATCCACCTGCTTGAAATACAACAATGCCAAGATTAAGAGAAGGTCGATCCTGGTCGATTCTACAGGAATAGAAGTGTTTCATACTTGGCGTCAGCTTTTCAAACGTAGGACAGCGTTCTGAGCGCATGCCAACGTTTTCGGGCACTAGGAAGGTATGGGTATCGTTTCAGCGCACGCTCAGAACCCTGACGCAACGTATGAACGCACCCCAATAATTCAGCGTTCATACTTCGCGATCGGACCAGTGCCAAGCCATAATGGCTGTTTTGCACCCACTAAAGCAGGTTTTATTCAGTCAATCCAGACTAAGTATAACCATGCGAGTGGCATGGAAAAAGTTACCATATTTCTCTTCAACTGCTTTCATTTATTCTTTACGTATTTTTATCGAATTACAGATCTACAATGACTAGCCGTACTTTAGGCTCGGACACGCCCTGATAAGCCTTCAAAAGACAGGTAACTTT